TGGGGGGGGGGCGCAGCCCCCCCCCGCCCCCCAACACGCAAACACAATGCTCGCGTCATTAGTTTCGAAAAAAGACGCTTATTTTTCGAAGCAAGCTTGCGCGACTTAAAAAGCGGGGGGGTTGGGGGGGGGGCAGCCCCCCCCATTTGCAAACACAATCCTCGCATCATGGCTTTCGACACACGCGTATGCGTCGAAGCAAGCGGTTGCGACTTAAAAAAGAAGCCAAGAAGCCAAGAAGCCAAAAAGCTAAAAGCCGAGGAGAGCCAGGAAGCCAAGAAGCCAAGAAGGCAACAAGCCAAGAAGCCGCGAAGCCAAGAGTTCCACTCGGAAAACGTGCCAAAACTCAGGGTTTTAGCGCCTCGAGATGCGTGTCGCGTGAGAGGGTCGTCCATCGTGCTCTGAGAACGTACCAAAACTCGAGTTTTTGCGCCTCGAGACGTGTTTCGTGTGAGAGGGTCGTCGATCGCGGCCTTTTTTTTTTGATCCTTTTCTATTTTCTTTTTGATCCTTTTTTATTTTCTTTTTGATCCTTTTTTATTTTCTTTTTGATCCTTTTTTATTTTTTTTTGATCCCCATCCCCCCTGAAGAGCCTTTCATAGTCCTTGGTCAAGGAATAGAGCTTATATCAACATCGGGATCCGGAGTATGATGTAAGGTCAGTTCCTTAGATGAAGGGTGTTGGTCTCTCTGGGGCCTAAACCCTAAATCCTAAACCCTGAACCCTAAACCCTACCTCCACAGCTTACCAGTTTACGCAATTTCCCGCCCCCCCCCCCCCCCCCCCCCCGGGCCCCCCGAACAGACAACTCACAAACCCCCTGGAGCCCCCTCAAAGCCACATACTTCGTTTAGGGTTTAGGAATTATAGGGTTTATAGGGTTTAGGCTTCAGGGGGTTCAAGATCTGCGAGTTGATTACGGGCTTCCTTTAGAATTAGGGTTTTTCGGGTCTAGGGAGTGGGGTTTCGGGTAGATCTTCCCAAACCAAATGCTCATATATTGTTAATGAAGGAAGAAGTTGAAATAAATCTGAATGTCAGCATAAGGAACTGGTGTACTTCGCATATTCTTACGGTCCTACACATGTCAATAAATATGACGATGTGTATATTATATATATATATATACACATACATGAACACCAATTTGCTCGCACATGTTCTCCTAGTACTGCAGCTTCCTGCCGAGTGTTGCGATTCCTTCCCTACCCCGTACCCAGACCCTAGTACCCTGTAACCCTAACCCTAAAGCCTACAACCCTAAACCCGGAACCCCAAACCCCAAACCCGAAACCCCAAACCCTGTTACCAACAGCTAGGCCAGAGGCGCGCACCAATTTGCTATGGCATCGATGCGCTGAGCGCCGCCGAAGAAGACCTCTCGACAGCATGTGAGGAGGGTTTAGGGCTTAGAGTTTAGGGTTTAATTGGGAGTTTAGGATTCTTGTGAGCCAGAGGAAACCCTTGTTTATTCATTTTTACCTATATTTACCAGGAACCCTATATACAGTCGCCAATAACAGTAATACTGCGCCAGGACGAAAGTTCGTCGCATCGGGCAATTATGCCAGCATGTGCGCGCAAACCCCCCACCCCCATAGACTCCTCCACAAGATGTGCCTCTGGGGCGCGGAAGATTTACAGTCCTCCGTCGATGTGGCTCTGGGGCGCGGAGGATTTACAGTCCTCCGTCGGAACAAAAAAGTAATGTATGTTTAAAACAGCGCGGAAATTCCTCCGCTGGCCAGGCCACAGAAAATGCACTTCCGCGTACTCCGCGTCCTCCACTAACGCAAGATATGCAAGTGCGACAAAACTTTCTTCCTCCTGATGTAGGTACCCTGTTTCATAGGACTTCGGGCAAAACCCAGAGACCTCACGATCCCTTAAAAGAGGAATGTTCTTTACACTACGTGGGGATCCTTGTGATGATTCAAAGTATATTCCTAAGTTAAGCCGTATTTGGCTAGCCTTTGGGGTTGCAAGGTTTAGGCGCTGCAGGGTTCGAAATGAGTAGGTCCAATGTGTAGACCCTACACCTCACAATCAAAGCTGTAAGCTCATACAGGGCTTCGGGTTGAGACCCAAACCCTAAAACCCCTAACCCCCTAACCCCCTACCCCCCTAACCCCCTAAACCCCTAAACCCCTAAACCCTAAACTCCTAAACCCCTAAACCCCTACACCCTAAACCCCTAAGCCCCTAACCCCCTAAACCCCTAACCCCCTAACCCCCTATCCCCGCGTGAAGTCCGACCTCGCGCAGAAGCTCGTGCAGCTTGTCTTCTCCAAACGACCTCCCAAAGGATTCCACGCACTTTGGCTTGATTGCCAGATAGGGTTTAGGGTTTAGGGTTTAGGGTTTAGGGTTTAGGGTTTAGGCGTGCCAAACGGAAGCGTGCTTTGGGAGCGTGCGGTAGTCTGCAGACCTACCCACCCCAAGACCGCCGAGTCCGCACTCACGCCCTTTTGGGGACCTCCACAAGGTGCGTGGACCAGGGCATTTGCGATGCGCAGACGGAAAGGCGAGGCAGGGTCAGCGAAGACAGCTTGGGTTGGGGCGAAGGGGCTAAGGCCAGGGATGGCCGGGCCAGGAACAGACACAGGCAGCGAGGCTTGGTTGGCGCGAAGGGGCTAAAGCCAGGGAGGCAGGGTCAGGGGCTTGGGTTGGCGCGAAGCGAGTGGACAGCTTGGTTGTGGACCAGGCCAAAACTTGTGTGCGGACAGCGGGCTTGGCGCGAAGGGGTAAGGCCACCAAAGCCAGGGCCAAAACCAGCACGGGCAGGGTCAGGGCCAGGGCCAGGGCCAGGGCCAGTCAAAGTAAGGGGTCAGGGCCTGAGCATTTTTTGCCAGAGCCCCAACAAAACGCCCTGGTCCCCACAGCCCAGCGTCTGACTCGGCCTGTGTCTGTCTGGAGGGTAAGCCAAGGCCAGCAATGCCAGGGCTGCCTGGAGGGTCAGCCAGCCTGGAGGCAAGCTCGGTCGCCCGCCTGGGGCTCCCTCACAGGGTCTCACTGAGCGCTCGACCAGCGCCCGCCTAATTCAAAAGACTAAAGAGTGGGGTGTTTAGGGTTTAGGCTTCAGGGTTCAGGGTTTAGGGTTTAGGGTTTACAGGGTTGAGGGTTGAGGGTTCAGGGTTTAGGGTTCCTTATGTGGTACCAGGAATCTCCCTTCATTCCCATAGACTCCAATACCCCTGAATAAAGCAACATTCCTTAACCATATAAGGAACTCTCTTATATCATAAGGAATATTCCTTAATTAAGGGGTAATGGCGTCCCTGGGTTAAGGGGTATTGGCGCCTCTGGGGGGACTTCTACAGCTTAGGCGCGCATGCCCGAGAGTTGCGCCTGGCAAAGAGGCTAAGGACGACGTCAGGCTCCACACCCCTTCCGGCACCCGTCTGGAACTGCACCTGGACGACATCAAGACTTTGTGGCAACTTATGTCAGGGTTTAGGATTAGGGTTTAAGAGTGTTGAGGGGCGCTGGACTTTCAGGATTTGAAGTAGCATGTGACTGAGGCTTCTGCCTTTTTGCCGCGCCTGAAGCACCCAAACCCGGATAATTATGGGGCTTCGAGGTAGGCTTACTAAGTCAAAGGAGCTTCCGAGTGGAGCAACCCGTGCTTCACGTTCCTCCTTCCACCCACAAAAGAAGAATGCATAAACTGATGAAGGAATGAATGAATGAATGAATGGATGAATGAATGGATGGATGGATGGATGGATGAATGGATGCAAAACAACTTTTTATATTATGTATTTCTTCTGTTTGCTTTTCTGGGGAGGAGGTTGTCCTGGAAAAGATGGCCTCGGACACGAGTCAAACACATCACCAACGGTGAACCCTGGCAAGCTGCATGAATCTCAAGCTGATTTTGCGTTCGTTTAAGGCCTGCATAAACAAACACACACACACAGGATATATATATATATATATATATATACATATATAAATAATACACATGCATGTGTTGAATTGACTTAGCAAATAAGTGCGTAAAACAATAAGATATGTGCGCGTCTATATATCTATAGAACTGAACGGCATTGCAGCACATGCGCAAACCTGGATGGCAAAATGTGATAAGTTGGGAGCGCGGGGAGCCCTGTCAGACTTACTGGATGCTGGTAACCCCCCCCCTCCCCCCCTCCCCCCCCCCCTCCCCCCCCCCCCCCCACCCCCCCCCCCCCTCCCCCCCCCCCCCCCCCCCCCCCTCCCCCCCCCCCCCCCCCCCCCTCCCCCCCCCCCCCCCCTCCCCCCCCCCCCTCCCCCCCCCCCCTCCCCCCCGCAAACAAACCAACCTGAATAAAAAAACCCAAACAGTCAGGCAGGGAAGGGGTCAGGAGATTGAACCAGATCTCAAACTGAGAACTTGGACCTTTCATTATAGCGGACCCCCAAAACAGGCTCATCAAGTATCACATCCATTGCCCACCAACCCCATGCCATTGTGTCTTCAGTGGGAGGTGATGATGAAGTTGCCTCATTGCTTCAAAGTGTCACAAGCCACGCCTGGGAAGCCACATCATCATGAACGATCATGAATAATTGGATGATGAAACCTAAGATTCTCTCCGGGTGGTTGAGTACATCTCGAAACAACAACTCCAAATCGACAAACCGACTTCTTCCACGGCTTCTGTGACTCCGTGGACATATCTTTGATTGCAAAATGATTGCAAAATGATTGTATATCTGATGGTATATGATTGATTTTGTCTGAACATTTTGTCCTAAGCCTCCGAAAAAATGAGGGCACATTTCTCAAGTCTCTTTTGGGTTCGGGACATGGTTTTCTGGAGATGCAACAACGCTCAAGGATGTTTCACGGGGACGTGGTTGGAACATGCTCCAATCACTGTTGAACGGTCGGGTTGCTTTGCAGATCCGAACCTGAGAGGGTCCTCCGGACCTCAGGGCATGCCAAAACCATCAACTGGTACAACAAACAAACCAAGGAAATCAACATACAAAAACACACTCCCTTAGCATAAGCTAGGTTGGTTCTTCTGACTCACGAAGTAAAGATGCCGCATCGACTTTGCGATACGGACGAGATGCGCCTTTGAATTTGGTCCGATAGAGGTCTAAATCTTCGGCCCAGACGATAGAGTCTCCTAACGAAAGAATGCCTAACAGCAGGGTGAACATGCCGGAACAAAGCGAAAACCAATTTCTGATGGCAAAGTTCCATGAATAGCAGGTCAGTGCAAAGGAGAACGGTGCTTCGAATGCCGACTCAATTTCCAAAAGCCGAAGGATGGGATCCGTGGTGATCCCTTTCAGCACCGACTTCCGTGGCTCCTGCCACAACTTCTCATAGCGCCACGCCACGAAGAACTCAGCCACTGTGGAGCTCAGCACAATGAAGGCAGACAACGAGGCGAAGTAGAACTGGCCAGCCATGATCAAGTTAAAGATGGAGATGAAGTCAAGGACAACGCCATCCATGATGGCCATGCCGATGTTGAAGTAAATTCCACCTGGAAGCAGATCAAACATGAAAGGATGCCCACATTGTGGGCCCTGACTGTTGGTATCCAAGTCAGAGGCCCTTGCAACTGCGTACAGTCCCGGAAAACTAAGCTGTGAACCAATCTGAACATAAACCTAAATTTGATGTACCTAAAAAACAGCACATTGGATGAAGAAGACAATCAAGGAAACGTAAGGAAACAAAACGCATTGCACATATGAAACACATGTTGGATATGATACAAGAAACATGTAACATGGAAAAGCAAAGAACCAGCAAAAGACCTCTGAATATATCTAGTAACATCATAGTGATGACTATTCTCAAGGTCACAATCAAAGGCATCACAGGCAAAACCCAGGTACGCCGTGCCATGAATCCATGGTGTATGATTCAGTGAAGAGGTGAGATGTACGCAGTAAAAAAGGAAAAAAGGCAAACGTAGACATAATGGAGAAATCCTGATAAATCAATCACCCCTCCGAGTTTCATAACAAGTATAACTTCGTACAGCTCAACATCGCATCAACACAGAACATCAGCATGACATCACAACAAAACATCATATTCAAGGTTCAAATTCAAATTGAAATCCAAAATCTGAACAATCGAGATCGCAATAAAGATCATAAACGCTGTTCGTCCCTGCCTGGAGGAACGAACACCAGCCACTTCTCTGCCTTGACTTGCACTTCTCCATCAGGAGTCTTGATCACGACCTGTTCCACCTCTTCTGCTGCGCTAGTCAGTGCCAGCGTGCCTTCCAACTCCTCTGCCAGGCCCTCTTCTGACTCGTTTACTGGAGTTTCCAGGGTCAGAACTCGAAGCATCTGCATGACCGAAGTGATGAGCCAAACGGCAGAGATGCACCACATCAGCCGCAAGAAAGACCAATAGGTCCACTTCATCGTGGATGGCATGCGGTTGTGTGCTGGGCACACGAACATGGAAGCTGCCTTGTTGATCATTGGTGGCAGTCCATCTTTGCCAACCATCCAACCGGTCATCTTGGCGAAGGCTTTGCCTTGCTGAAATTGATAACCAAAGACGCCGTACTCGATCTCCTCGTCGCAATCTCTCGGCATTTGCGCGGCGAGGAAGAGAAAGAAGGCGGTCGCAAGGATCCTTGGTGTGCCAGCACTGCAGAGCCTACCGTAATCGCAGCTTGCGAGCAAGAGGATGGGGTGCCGCAAACAGCGGGCACCCACCTCGAACAGTCTTGGCAGAATGTAGATCACTAAGTAGACGGGGGCAAAGGCTGTCGCGCTCACCCATAACATGGCCACTCCCAGCGGCAGGAGGACACAGGCCACAACTTCCATGGCTCTCATGGCCGTGCGCAGCTTGGCTCTTTTTGCGATTGTTTTCAGTGCGAGCTTTCGAGGTCCAAGGTTGACATTCTGTGCTTGGGCTTGATGGAAGGCGCCCCAAAGCAAACCAATGAGCAAGCTGGCGAGAACCGATGCGCCCATCTTCTTTTGAAAGCTATGTGTTGAGACTCTGGCTTTGAATAAGTCCCAGCCTTTTGGAGTCGTTGCTTCCAAGACCTGGATCACTTTGTCGTACCGGTGACAATACTTCGCATGGCCACAGCTCCGCAACTTGTCCTGGGCCCGTTGCAGAGCCGTCTTTCCATCGTGGCGGATGACTTCGGCCTGGGCGCCGTGCCGCAGTAGCACATTGGCTCCTGCTGCGTTGCCATTGGCAGCCACCACGAAAAGGGCCGTCTCGCCCAGGTTGTCCCGCAGCTCCGTCGCAGCACCCGCATCCACCAGATCTCGGATCATCTCCATGTTGCTGTACCTGGCTGCCCAGATCAAGGCTGACCAGCCACTTTTGTCCTGGGCGTTAAGATCTGGCTCCTTGGCCAAGATGGCCTTCACCATGGCTGTGTCCTGGTAGCAAATTGCCCAGATCAGAGGAGTCCTACCGTCCTTATCTTTTTCGTTGAGCTCCTGATCCGAACCTGAGAACTTCTCCACTTTTTTCAGGTCTTGATTCCTCAGTGCTTCCATCAGTGAAGCCTTGGCGCAAACACTGAGAGTCAGGAGGAGGAATGTCACCCGCAAGGTGAACGGCATGGCCATGGCGTCAACACCGAGGCAAGCGAAACCCTCTGGACACTTGAGATCTCTGGGGCCGAAACTTGGCACATCTCACAGTGACTCAAAGATCTCAAAGTGACTCAAATTTGGAGGGTCTCCCACGTCAAGATGTCAAACCGTGAAAAAGATTGTGAAACCAAACCAGCCGCGAGCCGTCACAGAAACCAGGCCGCAACTGCCCCTGTCTATATGGTGCCGTGTTCCGAGTCAGTAACCCCCCCCCCACCCCGCCCCCCCCCCAGGAATATTGCGAGTGCAACATTAGAGAGCTTTTGGGTTTTGGTTCTATGGGCAATTCTCAAAACTATGGCCCCTTTTTTGGGTACCTCAAAGTTAGGGGCCGCCTTATAATAGCAACCCCAAAAGGACCGTGATTCAGAGAAGTGCCCATATATGGTCATGGAGGGAGTAAAGGGCCCACGGAACTTTCCCATCGATTACAAATCACCTAAAACTAAACCCTAAACCCTAAACTGTGCCACTGCTCCTCGCTGAGGTCAATCTCGTGCTCCTGGCACCAGTCCACAAAGGCCTGGCGTTATAATTCGAATACCAGACCATCATATTATCATAATGTACTGATATCATGACATGATAATATAACAACATAATACTACACCAAATATACTAATATCACAATCTAATTTGCACGAGGTCCCCACGACACCGGTCATGATGTATTAATGGGGTGGCGGTCAAACCCCCTCAACCTCCACGGCGTCGGATCCCCACCCCACCCCAACCGCCACCCCCCGCCCCAAGCAAGGGTTTGGGCCTTGGGGTTTCAGGTTTGGGGTTTGGGGCTTAGGGTTTAGGGTTGGGGGCTGCCCTTCCCCACCCCTACACGGCTCCAATCTTTCAAACGCGGCTGGAGCAGTGTGAGCCAGCCCGCGACAGCAAAGGATGTGGGGGTGGATTTGGGGACCTAGGAACACTTAAATGGAGGTCTAGGGTTTAGGGTGTAGGGTTTAGGATTTATAGGGTGTAAGGTTTAGGCCTTGGGGGGTTTAGGAGTTTTGGGTCTAGCACTTGGAGGCTCGTGTGTAGTGATAAGTATGGCTCTCCAAGAAAGGCTGTGGGATGCATGATATGCAGGTTTGCCCTAAACCCTAAATCCCAAACCCTAAACCCTAAACCCTAAACCCTCAACCCTAAACCCTCACATTGGCCCCAAAGGCGGCCTCGTAGTGAGGATGGGCCTCGGTCGCGTAGGGCACGCACCAGGCAAACACCTGATTCAGGGAATTGGGGTTTAGGGTCTAGGGCTAGGGTTTAGGGTTTAGGGTTTAGGGTTTGGGGTTTGGGGTTTGGGGTTTGGGGTTTGGGGTTTGGGGTTTAGGGTTTAGGGCTCAGGGTTTAGAATCCTTCTTCGAGATGAAACCCCAAGCCCTGGAGCCCTAGCCGACACAAACAAGTCCCCGGAAGAATAGTATAGGGAAAAAGCCTTAAGCCTCAAAGGCCTTAAATACCCACCCTAAACCTTAAACCGCAAGCCCTCAGCCCTGAACCCTGAACCCTAAGCCCTACACCCTAAACACAAACCCTGAACCCTGAACCCTGAACCCTGAACCCTGAACCCTGAACCCTGAACCCTGAACCCTAAACCCTAAACCCTAAACCGTATCCTCAAGACCCATACCTTAAGCCCTAAACCCTAAGCCCTAAACCCTAAACCTCATACCTTAAGCCCTAAACCCGAAGCCCTAAACACCAATCCGCCAGGGGAGCTGGAGCCCAGCCTTGTAGAAGTGCCGAATTGTCAGTGTACAGTCCTCAGCGGCTGCATGGACTTCAGTGGCGTTCACCCCAGTTTAGGGTTTAGGGTTTAGGGTTTAGGGCTTAGGGTTCAGAACTTACTATGCCAGCAGAGAGAGCAGGCAGAAGAAGGCTTTCCCTGCAGGATGAAGACACCTAAACCCCAGTCCCTAAACGTCAAGGATCAACCCCCATCCGCAACCACTTGCCCCAGACCCTTAAGCCTCCCAGCCCAATATGGGGGTTTCCTAAATTAGGGGTACCTTCTTGGGGTCCCAACCATCCTATTTTCATAAACTCCCATATCCCTTTAACCAAGGAAGAATACACCCTAAACCCTAAACTCTAAACCCTCTTAAACCCTGTAGGAATACTTATCATGATCTACACGGCCATCTTCCTTACTGAAGGCTCTATCTACCTGCCATTGAAGTAGCTCTAAGCCCCAAAAACTGTAGGTAAGTGTGGAATTTCGGGACCCCGAAACCCTAAACCCTAAACCCTAAACCCCAAACTCACTGCCAACTTCGCAGAGGGCCCTATACTCTTTAGCCAAGGGGTAGCACTTGTTTCAAGACAAGCCCCGAACCCCAAACCCCAAACCCCAAACCCGAAACCCTGAAACCCCGAACCCTAAACCCCAAACCCTAAACCCTATAGCTTGAGGTCGATTGGGTATCGGGCCCCCGAGGTTCCCAGAGGTTCCCGGGCGCCCGGGCAAAGTCGAATCCCACCAGGATGCTGCGCTGGCGCTGGCGTTTCAGAGCCTCGCGTCTGGGTTTCGGGGGGAGGGCTTAGGGGTTCGGGGGTAGGGTTTAGGGTTTAGGGTTTAGGGCATTTTAGGGCTTAGGGCTTAGGGCTTAGGGCTTAGGGTTTAGGGTTTAGGGTTTAGGGTTTAGGGTTGAGTTGAGATGACTGGGAGTCCCCAGAACCCCCCCCCCACCCCCCTAGACCCATGAGACAAGGGGGGCTAACTGAAAATTCGGGATGCCACGCTGATTTCAGAAATACTGAGCTCCGTAGATTCACACAACAATGCGGCATGGACTCACTCACCCATGAGCCCACCTCGCGCAGGGCCCTTCGGTCTTCGGGCATGGTGGGCGGGCGCGCTCGCTGCGCTGCCCAAAAAAAGTCGTGCAAGAGCACGCGGGACTTTAGACGTTGTCAGAGGGCTGTCCCCTAAACAGAAGTGCGCAGATGATTGCAGCATGCCAATGCAAAGTCTCAAGACTCAAGTGGCCCTAAACCCTAAACCCTAAACCGCAGTTGTGTAAAACCAAAGGGGTATCTGCACATCCTGCATGCTTTTGCTGTCGGCGCGTCGAGCACAGCGGGCAAAGTCGTCCAATAATTTTAGGGTTTAGGGTTTAGGGTTTAGGGTTTAATAACCAGGGCTCCCAGATTCAAACGTAGGTTGCAGCCTTTAGTCTACATACTGCATGCTTGAAACCCGCTCGTAAACTTACATTGCGGACTTGCTAGAACGGCTTCGACAGGCCTGTTTACTGTTTACACATTCGCGGAGGCAATAATGATCACACCAGCTTTGCCATCGGGAAGGGAGGGCAGGGTTGAACATCAAGGCAGTTGCCCCTATGATCCTTCTGTAGCTATGCTACAATAACCCCCCAAACCCTATTCTAACTATTAAGGCCCCCTGAACTCGTGGGGCAGCCCTATTCTACCTTTAAGGCCCCCTATATTAGATCCATGTCCGCATGTTTTGAATGCAAAGTTTGGAACGCAGATGGGCCTTGTCGATGTGGCACAGCCCGGCAATTTTGGCGGTTTAGGGTTGGGGGTTTAGGGTTTAGAATTTTCAAGGTGCACGGATGAATGCTCTCTGGTGTGCATATGACCATTCAAGATGTAGCTTCCCCCTCCCCTGCCTGCCCATCTCCCCCCCAGGTGGACATGGTTGAAACCCTAAACCCTAAACCCTAAACCCTAAACCCTAAACCCAGCATTTACGGTTAAGGACTGCCTGTCGACCCCAGGTGTCGGATGCTGTTTGCTTCTCTCGTGTAACTTCCTAGACCCAAGAGTAACCCAGCGGAAAAAAGTACCCGTTTGGTTTCAATGGGCTCATAAGGGAACCTAAACCTTAAAAAAGGGAATAAGGGCCTAGTTCTAGCACACCTGCATGCCTGACCATTTGCAACGCCTGCGTCTGCCAGGCGTCCTGAAAATCCAGCTGGACTTTGGTAGGATCGGGCCCGGGGCCGTGGCATGGGCGCACTTGAAGGTTCATGGTACTTACTAACCACTTATAACTGTACTTATAACGCTACTTATAATACCCCTAAAGGGCCTTATAGGGGTTATCCCTATTATAAGCCCAGTTATAAGTGGTTATTAAGTCCCATGAACCTCCAAGCAGATAGAGTCAACTTCCACAAGCGGGTCCCACCACCAGTGGCGGACAGCGTTGAAGGACCCAAAGAGCCCAATACCCCTCAATCAAGGATTCTAGCCTTAAGTCATTTAAGGGTCCCTGTATGGTTTAAGGTATATTCCTTAATTAAGGGGCTTTGGGCTCTCTCGGGAGGGAGGGGGGGCAGCCCAGCATTTTGGGGCTGCCCGCGAAAATCTTTGGCTACGAGGGCTGTCAGAGATCCTGCAAGCGCAGTCGCAACACATGGGGTTTCCGAACCTGAAGTTTAGGGTTTAGGGTTTAGGGTTTAGGGGTGTAGGATTGAGGGTTTTAGGGGCTTTAACTGTAGGGTTCAGTACAGGTCCTTGAAGATGAAGCTCAGGGCCTCATCCCGGATGGTTCGGAAACCCCCTTGATCAACCCGAGCCCGAAATAGCCCCTGCAGTCCCAATACCCCCTTCCCTATACTGCAGGTAATCCCTATAACCCCTATAGAAAACTAGAAGCCCTGTACTTGGAGATTCATTTGGGTAATTGTAAGCAGGGTTAGAAGTACCCTCAAGACGACCAGTTTTTGGTCCCAAATATGCCAATTACCCGAGTTTTAACTACCCAAATGAACCTCCAAGCGATCATGTTAGGGAACCCTAGACCCTAAAGCCGTGACCCTTCGTTGCACTGCTGTCCCCGACTTGCTGTGTTGCTTGACCATGCTAAACATAAAGCAACAAATCCCTAAGCCCTTCAACCCTCAGCTCTCCACCCTAAACCCGTCGGGGTTTGACAAAAACTGAGTTTTTTTCTTAAGGCATCCCTTGAATGCAGCAGCTGAAAGCTCCGCCCTCACTCGCAGCGGAAGGCCAAATCCACCAGTTGAGGTGCCAAGTCCGCATCTGCGCACGTGAGAAGCACGACGGCCACCTGAACAAAAGACTTGGTTTTCTGTGGAGCTGATCGATCCTTCTGGAGGCCTAAATCATCATCTACTACTACTACTACTACTACTACTACTACTACTACTACTACTACTACTACTACTACTACTACTACTACTACTACTACTACTACTACTACTACAACGAGGCTTCCCTTCCCGCCTCGCCGCTCGAAGAGCGCTTTGCGCAGCTGACGCAGTTGCCGAGGACTTCTTGGGGCCAAAACTCGACCTGAAGCGCGCAAACCCTAAGGGCCTAAGGGTTTTGGTGTAGGGTTTAGGGTTTAGGGTTTAGGGTTTAGGGTTTAGGGTTTAGGGTTTAGGGTTTGGGGTGTAGGGTTAAACCCTATACCCTGCACCCAAAAGCCCTATACCCTAAAACCTCGAGCGCGAAACCCAAAGCCCCAAAACCCTAAAACCTGAAACCCTAAACCCAAAGGCCAAAACTTGAAACCCGAAACTCCCAAAGCTCTCGACGGCCCTACACCCCGAAGCCCTGAAGCCTAAAGCCTACTGAAGCGCGCCACTCGGGTCTTCCAAGGCGGGCAGGTTACGCAGGAAAAGGGCCCTTACCACTGCTAAGTTTAGTTGGGGAGCTTCGGGTTCTCGGGGTTAGCGCCTAGGGTCCCTAGACCAAGTTAAGGCTCCTATAACTCTCAGCCCTTCTCCCCGCAACTCTGCTAAAAACTGGGACCCCCCCTGGGACCTTCCTGGGACCCCCCTTCCAGCCTCGGCTCATCCTAACCTTCACAGCATCTACGCCAGCTTACAGCAACCCCTAAACCCTAAACCCTAAACCCTAAACCCTAAACCCTAAACCCTAAACCCTAAACCCCAAACCCTAAACCCTAAACCCCAAACCCGAAGATACTGAGCTTCCGGCTCCCATGGCAAGGGCCGCTGCATAGCTGGCTGCAGAAGCTGCGCCAGCAAAAAGCCTTCTCAACAAGGGACACAGAAACCCACAGACCCAAAGACCCTTTTAGGGTTTAGGGCTTAGGGTTTAGGGTCTAGGGTCGAGGGTTTAGGGTTTAGGGTTTCGGGACCCTATAAGCCCTATAAACCCTATAAACCCTATAAACCCTATACACCCTGAATCCGAAATCCTGAACGCTAAAACCTGCAATTTTCAGGAATCGACCCGATTAAGTGGTCCATGGGGAAGACGTTCGCAGTCCTTAATTCAGGAATATGGGTTTTGGGTTTAGGGTTTAGGGCTTAGGGTTTAGCGTGTAAATTCTAGGAGGAGTGCCGCAAAGCGACTTCGGGCATTCCCGAAGCAGGGGCCACTCGAGTCCCTGTGCTGACATAAAGAAAGCAAACCCTAAACCACAAGGGTTTAGGGTTTAGGGTTTAGGGCTACCTAAACCCTGAATGCTCCAAGCGTCAACTCCCTGTGCACATGTTTATAAGTATTTCCCAAGATACCCGTAATATACAGCGACCCAAAAGCGCCAGCTATTTTCGGAACCCCCCCTTATACTTCTTGGAAGAGGCCTTGAAATTAGATGAGGATCCCTGTTACAATTTCTGCAAGATTCCCCGAATTAAGAATATCGGAATCTCTAGGTGTCCTACCCAGATATTCCCAAACACAGTTAGGGGATGATATGTTTGCCTGAATTAACGGCCTCATCCTTAATCACGCTATCTTGGAATATCTGGGTAAGACCAAAAAGGTTTTCTGGTTTTTGGTGCAAGCTGTTCATCGATCGCGATCTGAGGTTTCTGGCAAACGCGCCCCAAACCCCAAACCCTAGACAGACCCACATCCTCCATAAATGCAACGAAACTGAAACCACAAAATAAACCCACACTGCCATGAAAAAAACACTGCCATGAAAGAGTCTTTCACAAACCCTAAATTCCAAACCTTGAAACCTAAACATAAACCGTAAACCCCTTCAAACCTAAAACCCCCATACCTTCAAACCTGTCAACCTTACGTCCTCTAAATCTGAAGCCCTATAAACTGGGATGTTCCCCTTATACTAGCAGTCCGATGATAATAGGAGGTCCCACAACGGACAGTCCTCAGGAATTATAGTAGGGGGTCCTATAATCCCTATTAAGGACTGTTATCCCAACCCTAAACCCTAAACCCTAAACCCCTGAACCCTAAACCCTAAACCCCTAAACCCTAAACCCCATGCCGCAAAGGAGCTCTGACTCTCGTAGGGCGCTGCTGTTAGCCAGGCAGACCTTGCGCGACGCGGCTTTAGGTCGACTCAGCATGCTACCCATTGAGCCCTTCGGGTTTAGGGTTTAGGGTTTAGGGTTTAGGGTTTTGTGCTTCGTGCTAAGCATCCCTATATGGCTTAAGGCATATTCTTTGATTAAGGGGTTTTGGGCTCTCTGGGTACAGGGATATACTTGCCAAGTTTGGAGTTTCAATCCAACCCTGCGAGGTGACTGCATACTGTGGAGGAGCTGAGCAACCATCTATACCTAAACACGAAGTCAAATAAGACCCATAAGCCTTCTGATCTCTAAGACTCTAAACCCCGAAAACCCCTAAGACCCGAAGTTCGCAGAGTCTAGGCTTTAGGATTCAGAGGCTTTGGGTTTCGGGTGGCTTCGGGTATGATCAACCCTGAGCTCGAGGTTCTGAAGTCTGCAACCCCCCCCCCCCAACTTAGTTGCTGAGTTCATAAGCCCCAGCCAAAAAGTGCACACTTTCAGTTCCTATAGGGGATTAGAGTAGCCCCCCCAAAAGCGTAAAAAAGGTGCACTCTGTCAGCTACTAGGCCACACATAAGCCTTGAATTTGGGGGTCTGTATGTACTTGTCATATGCCCGATATGCACATGTAGAAACAACAGGTAGATGTGTGTATGTATATACGTACCTAGCTATCCACACCTGAAAGGGTGCCTACATTCGCCCCCAACATGGGCCAAGGGCCAAGGTCAGTCAGAAGGCCAATTATTGCCGATACATCCTAGAACACCTGCGTGCTGGAGTGCACAGGCTCAGTCCCCGCTTTTTCTTCCACATGCGCGCCAAAAACCTCCTCCTCCTTGGCCTCCTCCTCAAGTGTCCAGGAGAACTGAGCCGGAAAGTCTCCCGCTCTTTCAGGGTTTATCAGTGTACCCTTGTACATTGGTGAGGCCTCTTGTCCCTACGCGGCCTCACGGCCTGCGCCGTCGGGACAAACACAGGATCACCAAACGTGTTTAGGGCGCTCTTGCTCTTTCCCTGCTGCCATGTCTTAGACTGCCTTTTTAACCATCGCAACTAGGCTCCTTCCTAAACCCTTATTCAACCCTAAATTAACCCTAAACCCTAAACAGCAAAAATAATCTGCTGTCGTTGCCATGGGAAGGCCTCACTCGGCGCTGGGCCCCTCTCACATCTCGGTGTCCACCAGTCTGGGCTTAGAGCGCCTCGACCAGGCCGCCCACCTGGAGAGCCTTCTTGTTCAGGATGTTCCTTGCATGGCAGGGGTTTAGGGTTTAGGATTTAGGGTTTCGGATTTAGGGTTAGAGTTTGGGGCAAAGGGTTTGGAGGTCAGGAGTTTTGACGGGAAAGGGGATTGGGATGTCCTTGCATGAGTGTGCGGGTCTGGGGTTTCCCTACCGCGACCCAGGAATACCTTGAGGAGGGACCTAAACCCTAAACCCTAAACCCTAAACCCCAAACCCTAAACCCCTAAAACCCCACAGTAAACCCTTTACCCTAAACCTTGAAGAGGGGGGCCGGAGGTCGAACTCAAGAACCCAGGCAAAACCCCAGAGGCCCCGAACCCCAGAGGCCCCGGAACACTAAAGACGGGGGGTCCCCTAAACCCCACTTGTTAGGGTTTAGGGTTTAGGGTTTAGGGTTTAGGGTTTAGGGTTTAGGGTTTAGGGTTTAGGGTTTAGGGTTTAGGGTTTAACCCACTTATAAGCCCCTTAAGTGCCCTAACTATATTATAAGTACAGTTAGAAGTGGTTAATAAGCACCATGAACCTCAAAGCAGCCCTAGACCCTGAACCTCTAGCGCCTAGACGCACCCTAATACAGATGCCAAAAAAAGGAGCTGGAACCGGAACCCCGCCCTCCCCGCCCTCCCCCCCCCCCCCCCCTCATATCTATCGGATTGCAAAAGACGTTCGTGCAGGCTTAGGGTTTAGGGCTTAGGGTTTAGGGTTTAGGGTTTAGGGTTTAGGGTTTCGGGTTTAGGGGGGTTTAGGGTTTAGGGTTTAGGGCCATAAGGTACGTGGCCTAGGGTTTATCGATTGAGTAAACTTTAGATTCGTTATTCATGCTCTGGGATTCTCTGGGTGGGTTTCACAACCACACTGCTTGACTTTTGAATGCCTGGACTTGAGATGCTGAACACTAAGCCCTATAGCCCCAAACCCTATAGCCCTAAACCCTAAACCCTAAACCCAGGCAGCCGCGTCACTTCAGCGTGAGGTCGACGCCATGGCTCGGGGCATCCAGGGTCACTGGGTCGACGTAGCCTGGCTTGCGGTTTAGGGTTTAGGGTTTAGGGTTTAGGGTTTTGGTTTTGGGGTTTAGGGTTTAGGGTTTAGGGTTTAATGGAAGAGCCTAAATATGTGCCACTATCATCCCCTCGTCGTCCCTATGGAAAACAGGATATGATTGACCTAACCCAGTAATCTCCTACTACCCAGAGACCCAATTACCCTCAACTAGGACATGCTCTTTGGAGGGCCCTAAACCCTAAACCCTAAACCCTAAACCCTAAACCCTAAACCCTAAACCCTGAACACTCAAACAAAGTTACATGGTCCCTTAGTAAGTATGGGCCCTGGGGCTTGGTTATGGGTACATACGGGGCGTTTAAGGGTTTAGGGTTTAGGGTTTGGGGTTTGGGGTTTATTAGGGTTTAGGGTTCCCCAATTAAGGGACCATGTAGCCACCCCCAAGAGTAATTACTAGGTCCCAGTCACCTAGGGGAACAATCGGGTGGCAGTGCTTGAACCTAAATTACGTGAACAAATGGGCAATAAGTCAGGGATGTTGCTCAGTCCGTATTCGCGGTGTATCAAGGGCTCTTTGGGAACAACAAAGCTGCAACACAACCCCCCCCCCCCCGCCCAAACTAAGTCTTCCCCAAATGCCCTAAACCCGAAGCCCTCAACCCAAAACAAAAGGGGTTCAGGTGCAGGATTCCAAGATTCAGGCTTTAGGGGTGCAGGGTTACGCTACTGTGGAGTAGACCTGAAAAAAAGTATATACTTTTTAGGTATTAAGTAGCTATAATAGGAACCCAGAACCAACAAAAAGCATTAAAGTGCAGTACTCGGAAACCCAGGTTAGCTTCGGGTTGAGGGCTCCAAGTTTCGAGTCTTTCCCTTCCGAGTCTTGCCAGGTAGCCCCACTCGATCTTGAAGCCGCTGATGAGGTTGCCATCCACTTCCTGCTGGGCAGTGGGAGCTTCCCTACACCCTAAACCCTAAACCCTAAACCCTAAACCCTAAACCCTAAACCCTAAACCCTAGGGGCTAGGGCTTGGAGATTTCGGAGGGTATTGGTGAGAGGGAAGTCGATGAGAAGACTCGAGAGGTCTTCGGCAGGGTCTTGACGCCCATGCCATCCCAACGAGTTTTCGGGTTTATCGGGTGCCTTAAAAGTTATTACAGGGTAAAGGGTTTAGGATTTCGGATTTAGGGTTCAGAGTTTAGGGTTTGGAGTTTAGGGTTTAGGGTTAGGGATGTACGGCTAAAGCTTGCTGCAAAAATCACTGCAGGTGTCTCACAAGTCACTGCATCGGGCTGCCTCGATGAGTTTGATGCTGTCCGTCTCGCACTTCACCTTCATCTTCTCAATGATCTTGTTCTTCTGCTCCTCCGAGAGACCTTTGGTTTAGGGTTTAGGGTTTGGGGCTTGGGGTTTAGGGTTTAGGGTTGAGGGTAGTTTGCAAGGTTACGCCCAAACGCAAGCCCCCATCGGGCAAACGCACACACCTAAACTCCCTAATCCCTGCACCCCTCAAACCCTAAACCCGAAACCCTATAAACCCTAGACTTGCTCAACAGGTACCTAAGTAGGGTTGTAAGTATAGCTACTATACCTAATATAATCCAACTTATAACTACGCATGAACCTTCAAGTGGTAGCCCTAAACCCTAAACCCTAAACCCCAAACCCTAGATCCTCAACCCTAAAGGGTGGCATGCTTGCGCCAGGCCACGCACGGCAGAAGTGACCTTCACCGGGGCCACGGATTCCTCTCTTGCATGGCAGGTTTCCCCCTAAACCCTAAACCCTGAACCCTAAACCCTAAACCCTAAACCCCTGAAACTCCAATACCACTTCATTAAGGGATTTTCCTTAAAATTGTCTTAGGGTTTTCTTGCAATATTCCTTATCATTCAAGAGTATTGGAGTCTCTGGGTAGGGTTCAGGGTTTGTGAGATTAGAGTGTTAGGGTCTTTGGGTTTAGGGCATAGGGTTCAGGATTTGTGGTTTTGGCTTTGGGGTTCCAAGCCCAATACCCCTTATTGAAGCAATATACCTTAAATCATACTAAGGCTCCCTTTAGTTTAAGGTTTAGGGTGTACGGTTTAGGGTTAACCCTAAACCCTATACCCGAATCAGGAGTCCGTGAAGTATGCGCTCTGCACGTACTCGAGGCAGATGGCCTTCAATCCTCTGAGGCGCATCTTCCTCGGAACGCCGCAGAAGGGGCATCGGTCTAGGGTTTAGGGTTTAAGGCTTGGGGTTCAGGGTTTAGGGTTTAGGGTTTAGGGTCGGGTCCCACATAAGATCCTCTGCAAAGGCAGCGCCTAGCCAGTTATTATGACATTCCACGGAGACGAGATGCCCTGTTGGTTAGTAGGGAATGGGGGAATAAGGTACCCTATATCATCCCTTAAAGGGCATATATAGGGCCCTAAATAATCCTTTGAAGGTATATGTACAAGGCCCTATATCATCCCGTAAAGGGTATAGATCGAGGTACCCTATATAACCCCTTAAAGGGCATATACAGGGCCGTAACTCCCTACTAACCAATAGAAAGTGTAAGGAAAAGACCTTGACACAGAATGCGGATCCCAATCTAGTTGAAGATATCCAAATTTATGCCCGAAGTCTCAAACCCTAAGTCCTCAAACCAAAACCCTGAACCCTACACCCTAGTCCTCAATCAATGGGTTAAGTTAACTCTCTCGGGTATAAACCCTAAACCCTAAACCCTAAAACCTAAACCCTAAACCCTAAACCCTAAACCCTAAACCCCTAGGTCCCTAAAAGAGGGAAGATAAGGATGACACGGCGCCCTAAGCCCTCCCAGAACAATCTCTGCGGAGATCCCTGCATCTTTCCTAACATGCAGGGTTTAGGGTTTAGGGTTTAGGGTTTAGGGTTTAGGGTTTAGGGTTTAGGGTTTAGGGTTTAGGGTTTAGGGTTTAGGGTTAGTTTAGGGTTGAGGGCTTAACCCTTCAGGTTTAGGGTGAGACTTAGGGTTTAGGGCTAAGGGCTTTAGGTTTTGAGGTTTAGGGTTTAGGGCTTAGGGGTTTGAGGTTTAGGGCTTTAGGGTTTGAGGTTTAAGGTTCAGGGATGGCTTAGGGTTTAGGGTTTAGGGTTTAGGGCTCAGGTTTGAGGTTTTGGCTTTACGTTTCACGACGCCAAAAGCTATATAACAGGTAACAGGTAACACTAGAAAAGGATCCTGACACCTCAAACAACAAGATCCAATAGGGGATGCTTATCATGCATGATTTGCAACCTCTCTAAGCCCCACCCTGGGGCTGGGGCTAGGGTTTAGGGTTTAGGGTTTCTTTAGGGTTTAGGGTTTAGGGTTTAGGGTTTAGGGCTTAGGTCAAAGGATTCGATGGCTGTAGGGCCCGCTCTGCGTCGTAGGGTTCAGGGCTAATGGTCCAAACTTTTTAGGGAAACCTTAAACCCTAAACCTTAAATCCTAAAAACACCACCGGCGCTGTTCAAAGCCCTGCACTTCACCAACATTGCCACCACGAGGCTTGGCCAGGAAGCGGATGAACTTTGGCACCACCTAAGAGGGGTTTAGGGTTTAGGGCTTGGGGTTTGGGATTTGGGGCTTAGGGTTTAGAATTGCAAAGGCCCTACATTAAGCTAGGTGTGCCAATTCTCCCCTCCTACAAACTACTTGCCTCAAAAGTTTAGGGTTTAGGGTTGAGGGGGAGCAATGAGTAGGGCCACAAGTATCCCAAGTAGGGTCATCACCTATAACCCTACCTATGGCTACCCATGAACCTCCAAGTAGTTCCCTAAGCCCTAAAAAGACCTAAGCACTAAGCCCTAAGCCCTGAGCCCTAAGCCCGAAACACTAAACCCTGAGCCCCCAACCCTAAGCCCTCAGCCCTGAACCCTAAACCCTAAGCCCTAAGCCCTAAACCCCTAAACCCTGAGCCCTAACCCGACAACCCAAAAGCCTAAACCCTATAAACCCTAAAGCCTAAAGTGGGCTTTTTCGGTGCATCTACTGAGCCCTAAGCCCTATAAACCCTATAAACCCTATAAACCCTATAAGCCCTATAAGCCCTATAAACCCTATAAACCCTATAAACCCTATAAACCCTAAACCCTCTAAGCCCTCTAAACCCTCTAAACCCTCTAAACCCCATAAACCCTATAAACCCCTGTAAACCCTAGAAACCCTAAAAAACCCTATAAACCCTAAAAATACCCTATAAACCCCATACACCTTATAAACCCTAAAGCTTCTAAACCCTAAACCCTAAACCCTCTAAACCCTCTAAACCCTGTAAACCCTAAAAACCCTATAAACCCTATAAACCCAATAAACCCCATAAACCCTAAAAACCCTTTAAACCCTATAAACCCCATAAACCCTACAAACCCTAACAAAAACCATCTAAACCCTCTAAACCCTGTAAACCCTAAAACCCCATAAACCCTGAACCCTAAACCCTAAACCCTAAAGTGCTTAGGCCGCCGCCGAGGACTTCAACGGCTTGACCATGTCGATGATCTTGTCGGCGCGCTGCACTTCCGTGAGGTTGAAGTCCTTGGCTTAGGGTTTAGGGTTGAGGGTTTAGGGTTTAGGGTTTAGGGTTTAGGGTTTAGGGTTCAGGAAAATATGCTTAGAAACTAAAGTATTAAGTTCAAAGGATAGAATAGTTCAAAATGGAATAATAAGGGTTTAGGGTTCCGGGTCCTGGTTTTGGATTTCGGGCTCAGGGTTCAGGGCTCGGGTGTAGGGTTCAGGGCTTAAGGTTTCGGGTTTAGGGTTTCGGGTTTCAGGGTTTAAGATATCGGGTTTAAGGGCTACTAGGTTCATGGGTAGTGCTACGTACGTCGGGTTATGAGTATGGTAGTGATACTTATAACCCTATTCCGGGTACTTAGAATCCCTACCTGTGACTAGCCATGAACCTCGAAGGAAACTCCAATGTAAGGTTCAGGGAGTTGGGAGTCAAAAGGACGCGACTTCAACCAAACCCTTGGCCCTAAGCAAACCCTAAACTAGGGATGCCCCCTCTTATACTAACAGTCCTTAGTAAAGATTATAGTCCCTTGAAGCCTAAACAATACGGCATCGTCGCCTTCAAGCTTAGAAGAAGGCATGCCAAAACAGAAGGAAGCGCTCCTACTTAGTTCCCCCGATTATAATCCCTAATAAGCACTGTTAGCATAAGGGGGAGCATCCCAACCCAAAACCAAAAACCTCCAAAGCAGATCCACGATTTAGATCTGCACCCTAACCCCTAACTAACCCCTAGCGCCTAACCCCCAACCCCTAACCCCTAAACCCTAAAACCCTCGCCCGGTGACGTTCTGGACCAAGCTCAGCTCCTCGAAAATGGCCTTTGGTCCAGAGGTTGGAGGCAAGGATTCTACTGATTCTTAGGGATTCTGGCGATTTTTCCGGTTTAGGGTTTGGGTTTAGGGTTTAGGGAGAGTTCCTTTCGGGCTTGTCGGGTTGTAGGGGGTTGGAGGAGTTCTTTAGGGCTTGACAGCGACGACAACGGGCTCCGCGGACAGCGGAGTTACACCCAAAGAGCTCAGCAGCTTATGATGAAGGAGTATCTGTTAACCTACGTCAATGGTTTGTTCACCCTAAACCCTAAACCCAAAACCCTAAACCCTGAGAGCCCGGCCTCATCCTCGTAGAAGGCCTTGATCTTCAGAATGTCTCCCATCACGGCCGCGTCCTTACCGAGGCACTAGGGTTTAGGGTTTAGGGTTGATAGGGTTTAGGGTCCCTTCTTTTAGGGTTTAGGGTTGATAGGGTTTAGGGTCAAAGTCACCCATTCTTTTAGGGTTTAGGGTTTAGGGCTGATAGGGTTTAGGGTCAAAGTCACCCATGTTTTTTAGGGTTTAGGGTTTAGGGTTTAGGGCTGATAGGGTTTAGGGTCAAAATTCACCCCTTCTTTTTAGGGTTTAGGGTTTAAGGTTTAAGGTTTGCCCTCAACTTTGAAGCTTCTGCAATGCTCTCTACAACTACTATTTGCTTGAGACCCCCCTCCCAAACATGAAAGATATTCATCCCTATATGGCCCTGATCAGGAAGATCGTGTTCTTGGTTTTTTGGGTGGCTCTTGAGCGAGTAGTAGATAACGGCCATGATACACAAAGCAACGGTATAACCTGATGAATATAACCTTGAACCCTAAACCCTAAACCCTAAACCCTAAACCCTAAACCCTAAACCCTAAACCCTAAACCCTAAACCCTAAACCCTAAACCCTAAACCCTAAACCCTAAACCCTAGTCGGTTGGTTATCTGCGTGTGGAGCTTCAAAAGGGTGTTAGGAATTGAGCCCTCGAAGACCGAACAACAAATCCTTTGCGTCTCTATACTACACTAAGTTCATGGGTAGTTATAGGTGGGGTTTTCTAGGGTTTAGGGTTTAGGGTTTAGGGTTTAGGGTTTAGGGTTAGTACCTTAAACAGGGCTATATGTATAGATAAATCTTTTAACCCCTACGTACTTGTTACAACCCATGAACCCTAGACCCTACTTGGCTGCACTCAGGAGGGTAGCTATAAATTAAACTTTTAGCTGCCTTAATAAGAAACCCAATCAACCCAAAAAAGGTAAGGATCTAAAGTTACAGTAAAGTACCACAAAGCCTAAACCCTAAACCCTAAACCCTAAACTCTACTTGTTACTACCCATTGCCATGAACTCCTGAACCTCCAAGTGCCCTGGATCTGTCCTCCTTCTTGGCCATGCCCGCTTCTCGGAGCGCCTTGCCCAATGCCGAGTTGAGGACGCCCTAAAACCCTAAACCCTAAACCCCAAACCCTGAACCCCAAACCCTAAACCCTAAACCCCAAACCCTAAACCCCAAACCCTAAACCCTACACCCCAAACCCTAAACCCCAAACCCTAAACCCCAAACCCCAAACCCTAAACGCTATATTCCTTCATTCAGGGGTCTTGGGGCTCTCTTTGCGGAAGATGATCGGAGCCCTGTCCTTGGCGTAGGACACGGCCCGAAACCCTAGACCCTAACTAAACAGGCCGTAAACCCTAAACCCTAAACCCTAAACCCGAAACCCTAAACCCTAAACCCTAAAAAAACTCCGTCCTTGGCGTAGGACACAGCCGGGCCAAATGGCTTCAGGTAGGAGCCGTCCGCGTGGCGCTGGGTGAGGCTTCGCTGCTGGGCTGCCTCCCCGAGTCTGGGGTTGAGGGTTTGAGGGTTTGAGGGTTTGAGGGGTTGAGGGTTTGAGGGGTTGAGGGGTTTAGGGGTTTAGGGGTTTAGGGGTTTGGGGTTTAGGGGTTTGAGGGGTTTAGGGTTTGGGGGTTTAGGGGTTTAGGGGCTTAGGGGCTTAGGGGCTTAGGGGTTTAGGGGTTTAGGGGTTTAGGGGTTTAGGGGTTTAGGGGTTTAGGGGTTTAGGGGTTTAGGGGTTTAGGTATTTAGGGGTTTAGGGGTTTTGGGGCTTAGGGGCTCAGGGGTTTGGGGGTGTAGGGGTTTAGGGGTTTAGGGGTGTTCGTTCGAAACTCTGAGCGCTAGAAACCCCGAATCCGAGAACCTTAGGCGCCTTATAGAAGCCACAAGTGGTAGGGTTCAGTGGTAGGGTTCAGGGTTATGTTGGGGTTGCCTCTCCAATCTATGGCTGACTCCCCTTTTAAACTTACATAAACTCCTCCCTATTAAAACCACGCAAAACCGTGGGCCGGGTAAACACGGCGAAAACCAGCTTCGACGGTTCTGGAGGGGGGGGGGGCCCGCACGCTAAAAGCGGGCACAACGTTAAACCATCAATCCTTTAAACCCTAAACCCTCAACCCATTAAACCCTAAACCCTAAACCCTAAACCCCCCACTCCAACGGCCTCGCCCGTCTGCGCGGAGCGCCCGAACCCCGAGGAGAGGGAGGGAGTGAAGGCCATCTTCCCCATGAAGCACATCACCGCCACAGCCAGCACTGCCTGGAGTGGGAACTCCGGGGGCATTTTTTTGGGTTTAGGGTTTAGGGTTTGGGGTTTGGAGTTTGGGGTTTGGGATTTGGGGTTTGGGGTTTGGGGTTTAGGGTTTGGGGTTTAGGTCGTTGGGTGATTTTGGCGGTCTTGGTGGAACTTTTTTTTTTTTCTTTTTTGGGGGGGGGGGGGGTGGATCTTGGGTTTGGGAGGTTTTGGGGTGCTTCGGGTTTGCTATGCAAGGGCACTGCGGGTTGTGTGAGCGTCATAAAGAGCATACCGGGTATTCAGGAAACTGCCTACCTGAATGGGCCTAAAATCTGTTCACCACCCCGCCGCCGCAACCCCCCACATAGTAGGATTCCCTCATATTAAGGACCCCAAGAAACTACCCCTAATTTCGGAAACCCCCATATTGGCCTTATGAGGAAGAATGTTTGTATTTTCTTGGGGGGTCCAACCCTAAACCCTATACCCAAGACCCTAAACCCATGAACTTGTGGGAGGGGCTTAAGGATGTTTGGGTTTCGAGTTTTGGGGTGGGACTATGTTAGGGGTCTCTATTTTCCGTAAACCCCATCATCTAGGACCCTAAACCCTAAACCCTAAACCCTAAACCCTAAAACCCTAAACCCTAAACCCTAAGCCTAGGAATTATGCCGAAGGGACCACTCCCATGGTGCGTGCCATTGCGTCTGCTCGAAGGAATGAAATCTACAGCGATTTGGTTGCCTGGAAGCAATACGAGCTGAGACTCCTTGAGCAATAGCGGCTGTGGTTTAGGGTAGCACAAGGAAACTTGAAGCCAACCCTCAACCCTCAACCCTCAATCCTAAACCCTAAACCCTAAACCCTAAACCCTCAATCCTAAACTAGGAGCCCGAAACCCCCGAATCTCAGAATAAGAGGTTTCACCACCCTAAACCCTAAACCCTAAACCCTAAACCCTAAACCCTAAACCCTAAACCCTAAACCCTAAACCCTAAACCCTAAACCCTAAACCCCACAACTAGCCCACCGAAGCAAGGTGCGACTCTGGGGTTGAAGGTAAACCGAAGCGTTAGGACCGACTCAAAGAGACATCCCTATCCCTAGTCGCCCTAAACCCCCTACGCCCTAAACCCCCTACGCCCTAAACCCCAAACCCCAAACCCCAAACCCTAAACCCTAAACCCTAAACCCTAAACCCTACCCCGAAACCCTAAACCACCCCGGCCAGCTTAGTTGACTAGGCTCGCTTGATGCCAAAAAGATCCTCAGCAGCCCGATAAGCGGACATTTCCCGGCAGTTTAGGGCTTAGGGTTTCGGGTACCCAGCTGAAATTGAGGAGCCCGACATGTACCACGATGATTGGAGCTTGGGTGGGGGGGGCTTGTTATCACGGCATGTAGACCCTGAGCAGGTCACGAATCTCTCTCTCAGACTTAAAAACCCCGCGTGGCAAACATAAAGTCCCTAACCCGGCAAACCCTAAACCCTAAACTCCCCAACCCGAGGCCTCAAACCGAGAAAGCCCTCAAGTCTAACCCTAAACCCTAAACACTAAACCCTAAACCTTAAACCCGAAACCCTAAACCCTAAACCCTAAACGACCCTGCTGGCTGAGTTCAGGGCATCGCCCAGATGCATGCATCTCATCTCATCGGCGCCGAGCGATGCGACCAGGGCATCCTCGCACACTTTCATGTAGGGTTTAGGGTTTAGGGTTTAGGGTTTAGGGTTTAGGGTTTAGGGTTTAGGGTTTAGGGTTTAGGGTTTAGGGTTTAGGGTTTAAGGTTTAGGGTTTAGGGTTTAGGGTTTAGGGTTTAGGGTTTAAGGTTTAGGGTTTAGGGTTTAGGGTTGAGGCTTTGCTGCCTTGAACTGCCATCCCTCATAAGGGACCTTAGGGGCTCTTTATGGGGTTATTTCGGGGCTACTTAGGTATGCAGGAAGTATATAAGGTCATTCTATATACCCTAGACCCTGAACCCTAAACCCTAATAAGGGTCCCTGCTGGGGCTCCCAGCTTATACCCCTTGATATATTATCAAGTGACGGCTCGCCCCTTACACGAGACGCCATGAAGCCCTAAGAACACACCCTTCGGCAAACCCTAAACAGCAGCAATGGCTTTGGGCTTTGGGGTTTGGGGTTACGCTAAACCCTAAACCCTAAACCCTAAACCCTTAGGGTTCTACACCGATCTGAACAGCCTGTGCCGCTTCCACTTCGGCGCTTTCCACGCTCCTCGGCAGCAAAGGTTTAGGACTTAGGGTGATTTGGAGGGTGTACCTTCCAAAACCTACTTTTTGGCAGGTTACCTAGATAGCCTACATAGAATGGAGGCCGGTAGGGGTTAGGGTTTAAGGCAACAATGGCGCTAAGCACAGAGGCATCACGAACGAAGAAGGCAAACAGTAGGGGACGACCCATCCATGACGCATATAATACTATGGCCATGAGTAACTCAGGAAAACGGGGGGTTTTTTTGGTTTAACGGGGTTGATAAGGGAACCTAAGCGCCCCCCAAAAAGGGAGACTCTGGGTCCTAGAATATGTTCCATTGGAAAATGTGCGTTTCTTCTCTTCTCTCTCCCTAAACCCTTTCCAAACCCTAAACCCTAAACCCTAAATTTCGGTCCGCCCTTCCCCCCCCCCCCCCCCCCCCCCCGAACCTCGAACCTTTCAGACGCCGCCAAGCAGACCTGGTTTAGGGTTTAGGGTTTAAGGTTAAGGGAACACGCATTTTGGCTAGTGTAAGCTTTGAACATGCAGGGATAATGAGGAGACAACATCAGTAATCGCTTAGGAGACAACAGAGGTAGTGGCTTAGGATCCTGCCTTAACAATACTCCCCTTAGAACCTCAAAAAATATTTTAAATATCCTCTTGGGCTTTATATTTTAAAAAAACTAAAGAATAATTCCCAAGGGGGATCCTGCATTGAAGTCCTGACACCTCCAGCCCAAGGCACATGATCGGCTTTGAGAGCTGGACGGGGGACATGGCAGCTTTGAAGAAGGGGCGCGCAGCCTTCACGGGGGCTGGTGGTAGGGTTTAGGGTTTAGGGTCTAGGGTCTAGGGTCTAGGGTCTAGGGTCTAGGGTTTAGGGTTTAGGGTTTAGGGTTTAGGGTTTAGGGCTTAGGGTTTAGGGCTTAGGGTTTAAGGTTTAGGGCTTAGGGTTGTAGGGCCTAGGTGTTAAGGCCTGTCACCATATGTTTTTTCAGTGGCATCCCATTGCCATTTTGGGGTTGGCAACTTTCGAAAAAGAGAACCTTCATCCCCAAAGGGGCAAAAGGATACCACTGAGCTACCAATGCAGGTTTTGGGATGACGCCCGTAAACCCTAAACCCTAAACCCTAAACCCTATCCCTGTGAGCATGAGCTCTGGCTCAGCTTTTGCCCCATAAGCTCCGCTACTTCACTCCAGCATGTGTGGGGGTTTGCGATAATAAGGAGTACCCTTTTGGGGGATTCCTATAATAAGGGTTTAGGGTTTGGGATTTAGGATTTAAGGGTTATAGAACTTTGGGGTATTTTAGGGGGACCCTATGTCGGGAAATACCCGTGTAGAGCCTGCGCAAAGAAGGACTGCAAAGCATCACCTGGGCTCAACCCATGGCTTGATCTCAGACAAACTGCAACTTGCACTGCGCATCCCTGCATCATCATCCCCACCCTGATGTAGGGGCCTTAATAATTGAATAGGGTTTTGGGGGCTATTGCAATACAACTATAGGGATACCGTTAGTATTTTTCCGACCCCCCCTATAAAGAACCTTGAACCCTGGAAGCCTTAAGCAAGGGCTCCTCGACAAGAAAACCACGCCAGCCACATGCAGCCGAGATGGCTGGGCGTCGACCCTACCTTTCGGAGAAGCGCCGCGCAGGCTGTGGCATGCGCTGTGGCCGGCCACCTGAAAACCAAGGCCCCCTTTTTCCCGGTTAATGGTTTAGGGCTCGTTCGCCCCTTAGCATCGTACTGCAAAATGCCCTGTTTACAGTTTAGCGTTCCATGTGGAGTAAGTTGTGTGTATATGCACGTATTACTATAAGGACAAAGCCATTTTCTGACTGAGGAGACCATCGTTTCAGCGAAAAACTCGAGACTCGGGGTACCAGCCAGCTGAACTGTGTCAAACAACTCGAGAGACATGGCCACTTCTCGAAAAGATTCCTTATTAGAAGGCGTCCCCTCTTATTTAGGGTACCCAAAATTGGACCATATTTTAGAGAACTGACCACATGGCCGTATTGATACTGCCGAGATCTCAAGAACATCTGGATGCGACAAACAAGCCCAGCACAAAGGACGAGCATCGGATCGAAGTCCCGATCTTATGAACTCCTAAACAACAAACCCTCAAAACATCCCAAGACACCCCTGTGGCAAGCCATGGCGTCTCAAGAATGTGCGTTTTGCTGCGGCATGGCCCCTTCAATTCACGGCGGACGCCAGCAGCCTAGCTTAGACAGATCAGCTAAACTGGCCCGGTTAACCTCTCTGCCGAACAAAACGCTACTCCAGCATGCGAGAACGCAAGATATCCCAAAGGCCCAGCCAGTCACTAGACTGCTTCTAGGAAGAGACCGGGGTGTTCTTTAAAAACCCAAAACCCTAAACCTTAAACCCTAAACCCTTTTCATCCAAGCGACCACGGTGGACAAGAACCATTCGCTGGCGGGGCTGTCCTGGGTCGCGGGACAAGGGCAAACATGGTCACTTCTCTAAGTTAGGCTTCCATTTGGGGGGGGGGGGGGGGGTAGGGTTTAGGGTTTTGGGTCTAGGGCTTAGGGTTAGAGTTTAGGGTTAGGGTTTAGGGTTTAGGGTTTCGGGTTTAGGGTTGAGGGTTTGGGGTTTAGGGTTTAGGGCTTAGGGTTTAGGGTTTAACCCCGAACCCTAAACCCTAAACCCCAAACCCTAAATCCTTCTTCTCGACATCTGGGCAGGCGGCTCTAGCCCTAAACCCTTAACCCTTAACCCTAAACCCCAAATCCTAAACCCTCAACCCAGCTGGGCAGGGGGCTCCAGCCATGACAGCATGCCTTGAAGATCTGCCAGGCGCCGTGCGCTTGGCGCGGTTGGCGCCTTTCCCCCATGCTAGGGTTCAGGATTTAGGATTTAGGGTTTAGGGTTCAGGGTTCAGGATTCAGGGTTTAGTGTTCAGGGTTCAGGGTTCAGGGTGTAGGGTTGAGGGTTGAGGGTTTAGGGGTTTACTTGGAGGCTCATGGGTAGCTATAAGTAGGGTTGCAAGTATGGCAGCTATATTCATACCCCAATTTGGGATACTCATATTATCCCTACTTCTAGTCACACGTGAACCTCCAACTAGGGTCAGGAAACTGGCACAAGCTACAGGCACCTTGGCAAGAGGAAGGGAGAAAACAAATGGCTGGTCCCAGCAACAGTGGCCTCTCGACGAGTGATGCAAGCCGTGGTGTTGATGTGAGGGTGGTGCTAGAACGGGGTTTATTGGCATATTCCTCCTTATACTAACAGTCCAAAAAAGGGATTCGAGTACCTCCTGTTATATTCCCTATTAAGGACTGTTTCTAGAAGTGGCAACATCCCAAATGGTTTGGGTTAGTGCGTCCTTTGTGGCGTGTCTTTCTGTACGGTTTACCGGATCCTAGGGTAGTTTCCATTCAACCTTGTTGTCCAGTAATCTGGGGGAATTAAAGGTTAACCTTTGGGATGATAAGGGGATCATATTACCCCAAAAAAGGATAAAGGTTACCTACTCTACTGCTCCTAGGTCAAATGATACAAACCCTGGACCCTAAATCCTCAACCCTGAACCCTCAACCCGCAAACCCAACCCCACCACCACTCCCCCCCCCCCCCGGCAAAATACAAATCATCCCAAGGGAGCCTCGCTCCATGGGCCTGCGCCGCGCACCACCTCGCCCTGGGAAGGGTTAGTGGGCTTAGGTTTGCTTTAGGGCTTTAGGGTTGAGGGCTCAGGGCTTTTGTTTCAAAAGGTTTGGGGGCAATCTTGTAGGGCTTGCCCTAAGCCCCGAAAGACCTTATAAAGTCCTAAAGGTCTGAATACGTGTTGTTGACCTGGACGCCCCAAGTACCCTTTCGGATACCCTAAACTATCCCCATGAAGGTCCACTTCACGCGCCTGCTAAGGGGTACTTGGGGGGGTCTGTCGAACCCATGCGAATTCTGACCATAGGTACCCTGGGAACCTCTGTAAGAAGGGTTTTGGGGTTAAGGACATAGGGCCATCACTTGTGCAAAATGGTTCTAGCCCTAAACCCTAAACCCTAAACCCTAAAACTTTTTAGAAGAACAAGGCGCCACTGTGGTCCCAGATGGAGCTGGGAACTTTGTCCACAAAGCGGAAGCCACAGGCGCGGACATCGAGATTCCTGGCACCCAGAGCTCAGCTAAGTGAATCTCGCTTTAGGGTTTAGGGTTTAGGGTTTAGGCTTTAGGGTTTAGGGTTCCTTCTAGGGCTTTATTTCTGGGCTCAGGGTTGACTGTGTCGAGTGCTAAAGCTAGCAGCGACCGCACAAGTATGAGTCGCGAGCAACTCGCGATCATCAATGTACAGTCTGCATCTGATCTGCGACATGGGAGAGCAAGTCACAGACCCTTCCACGATTCCTGGCACCGCTACTGTTCAATTCCCAGGTTGTAACACGTCCCTGTGAATCCTAGTTAAAACATAGTAGAGCCCAGCGAGCCCAATACCCCTTATTTAAGGCACACATATATATATATATATGTACACATACATATATATACACATATATATATATATACTCGTTTCTTATAGGATAATGCGCTCTCCAGGAAATTGGCTGGCACTTGTCGTTCATGCGCCTTTGCGCTTCAGCACGTGGGCAGTGGAGGCTGCAACCAGGGTGGCCATGAACGCCGTGCCACGAAGCCTCGGGCAACCAACATACAAGTGTCGTACGACACTGTGGGAATCCCTCCCCCCTATCACCCCGTGCTATGAGCTGTTTGCGGCAAGCGGTCATCATCAGCAACCCATCGAGACGGGTGCTCGCCACACGAAACCTAGTTCATGGTTGGGATAGCATATAAAAACTCAAATGTCCATTCCTCATTGTGCTAAGTACCCTTAAACATGTAAAATGCTCCCCCCACTATGACAAAGACACCTGGTGAACAAAAAGAGTTCGGATTGGGGCGAGTCAAGTCCGCTGAACAACTCGAGGAGTCCGGAGCGCGTCATGGGGGGTGTCATACTTAATGCCTTACTGACAAGTAGGTTTAGGGTTTAGGGTTCAGGGTTTAGGGTTTTGGGTTTAGGGTTAAGTGGAGGCCTTACTGACAAGTACCCATGAGCCTCCAAGTGGAGTGTTGCACAGCGTTTTGGCTTCCTGAACCCTCAACCCCTAGCTTGCACTGCCTTTGCAAGGTATAGCTGTCATGAGCTGGAGTTTCTTCAGGTTTAGGGCTTAGCTCATGAGGCATTGTAGCCGAAAGAAAAATCAACCACATGTAAGGGTTTGCAAAGCAGAGACTCTTTTGGTACCAGATTCATTAAAACCAACACGGACATGTAGGGTTCAGGGTTCAGGGCTTAATGTTTAGGGTAACCTGGACAATTCTGCATCTGAGCGGCGGGAAGGGATCGGTTGGATGGAGTGGCTGCCAAGAGGTGTAGGCAACGTGGCCTGTTGTCTCGATTGAGCGTCTGCGGAGTTTACGGTTTTAGGGCGTCGAGATTCTGCGTCCTGTGATTGCCACGAACTGTCACTAGCTGCATAGAGGACCTAGACCATCGTCCTAGGAGCTGCTTTGTGTGCTTGTTTCCTGCCGACGGGAGAAAGAAAAAGAGTCCTGTTCGGCCTGACACACACATTGGCAGAAAGCACAGTGAGCGAGAAGGAGATACGCAACGGGAGACAGAGAGTCAGGCAAAAAAGATACGGAGATACAGAAATCGACACCAACGTCAAACTCGCCTCAAGCTGACATCATTGTCTCATGCTCTATCTAACATATATCTATCGATCTACATATATATATATATATATATTCATATATATATACACATATACTCATATATATATATATATATATATATATATATTCATACTTTATCTATATATATATATAGCCAGCATTGCTTTCATGTAACATGAGAAGATGCCCTGTTGCGTCCATGAACTCCATCTAGGGTTTAGGGTCTAGGGTTTAGGGTTTAGGGTGTAGGGTTTAGGGGTTAGGGTCTAGGCACATGGTCTCAGCTCAGAATTCCAGTAAGGTCCAGGCCAAATGCCAAGTTGAGAACCGCGGATCCATCACGGCTGACTCTGGCAACTTGGATGCCTCCGGGCGGGTTTAGGGTTTAGGGTTTAGGGTTTAGGGTTTAGGGTTTAGGGTGATGTCCAGTCACACTCTGTCTCCAAGAACCGAAATCCCTATCATTGACCCTCTGCAAGGTATGGTTTTCATTGAATCGTGTTTTAGATGTTTGCTTAGCAGCCCTAAACCCTAGGCCCTAAACCCTAAACCCTAAAAGAGTCAATCAGTATACTCAGTAGACTCGGGCTGAAAGAAACAACCTCGGATTCGGAGTTCAGCTGTTGCTGTCATGCAGTTTTTCCGTGGGGGATTCGGGTACGCAGGGACTCCAATACCCCTGACTGGAAGATTATTCCCTAAAGTTATTACCAGGGTTCCATAGATGGTTTAGGGAATATTCCTAAATTAAGGTGTACTGGAGTCTCTGGGTAGGCCTCCGGATGGAGCTCAGTGACAAGCTCCCATCCTTGAGCGCTTTTTGAATATCGGACATTCGAGGTTCGTATTACGCTCAGGGTTGAGGGTGTAAACCGCGGCCAGCCATGCCTCTGCCGCCCGGCCCCCCCCCCCCAACCAAACAAACAGACCTAACAAGAAAAACTCCCCATAGTAAACTACAAACATAGGATGCGGGGAACATTTCATACTAGGGGCTAGAAAGTGCTTCAGCATCAGGGGCGGAGGAAATTACAAAGCCGCAACACCCTCAACCCTGCAAACTATAAAACCTAAACCCGAAACTTAAACCCTGAACCCTAAACTCTAAACCTAAACCCTATAAGCCAAAAACCAAGGTGGTGCGTTTGCATGGGTCTTTTCGCCGCGCGTGGCAGCGGGGCCATCGACCAGGATGATCCCTCGTCCTGAAGTCGGAAAGGTTAGGGTTTGGGGTTTAGGGTTTAGGGGTTTAGGGTTCAGGGTTTAGGGTTTGGGGTTTGGGGTTTGGGGTTTAGGGTTTAGGGGTTTAGAGTTTTAGGGTTTAGGGGTTTAGGGGGTTAGGGGTTTAGGGGTTTCGGGGTTTTGTTAGGGTATAGGGTTCATGCGCAGAAGGATGTGTAGTCGAATGGTGTTCAGGGATTCCAGGTTAGCGGGCTCACAAGGAATTTGGGTTACTAATGAAACTACTACCTAGAAATTTAGGGTTTAGGGATGATAAAGCTAGGTTACAAAGACGGTAGCGTTTTTGTAACCTAAGCTACCCTAAACCCAAAACGCAAAACCCAAAACCCTAAACCCCAAACCCTAAACCGGGAGACCTTACCAGATCTTTGGAGCAGCAATATTCAGGTGTACGTTTAGAATTCAGAAGTTGCTGAATGGTTTAGGGTTTAGGGTTTAGGGTTTAAGGTTTAGGGTTTAGGGTATTCTAAAGTCTGGGAGACCTGGGTGATTACCAAGTGTTTAGGTTTTTTCAGGGTTTGGCTGTTTAGGGTTTGGGTTTTCGGGTTTGGTGTGTAGTGTTTTTTTGTGTTGAGTGTGTAGGTTTTCAGATTCGTAGCATCTAGTATGTTCCCGAGCCTTCTCGCAATTTGCCCTTGGTGGCGTTTCGGGTTTTAGGGCTTACTTGGAGGTTCATGGGTAGTTATAAGTAGGGTTGTAATGTCCCTAATTGTTAGATAGACTTATGTGTGGAGTTGCCATTCTTATAAAGGTCCTCACAGGCACAAAGAGCCCGACAGCCGGTGAATTGACGGAAGGGCGCCAAACAGGCGCCTTGAAGGGTCCAGTTCCTCAGTCGGCGGCTGATGCTTTACAACCCTGAACCATGAACCTTATGGGCCCTTTTTTGTTTAGGGTTTATTTAGGGTTTCGGGTTTTGGGTAGAGGCTTTATGGGCTTTGAGGGTTTAAGGGGGGTTTTGGGTGCGGGGCTTAGGGGTTATGTAGGGCTCGGCGTTTAAGGTGGGTTTAGGGATCCGGGTTCGTGGCTTAGGGTTTACGAGCTTTATACTTAGGGCCCACAAGGGGCCTAGAGCTTAGAGATCAACATTCAACGCGTTGCAGCAGGGGTGGCAGCTGTCGTTGTTTAGTAAGGCCTACCGTCCACCACGGTTAAGCGGTGGTACATTACCTTAGACTTGCTTCGGGGACTAGATGAACCTTACAGGGTTTAAGATCCATATACCTTCCGCGGGATTATTTCGTAGTAAAGGGTTGAGGGCTTAGGGTCTAGGGACTAGGGCGTAGAGTAGCTTGCAACTATTGCATTTTTATATGGGATTGCTCGGGAGCTGGGGGGCCGGCGACTGGTATTGAAATCAGGGTATGTTTCGTGGGTTTTTTGTTGCGGGGTATGTTTCGCGGGTATGTTCGGGGTATGTCTCGCAGCATCATGAGCTACTTTAGATGCAATTTCGAGAGCATGTTTCCGGGGGATGTTTCGGGGTATGGTTCACGGGTGCGCAACCCGTGTGCCCTTCTCGAACCTGAGCCCCCCCAAAGCGAACAAACTCATATGGGGTTTTCCGAAAATGTGGGTATCCTTTTTGGGGGTCCCTCTTCTGTTTGGGGTAAAAACGGGGTGCCTAAACCCTAAACCCCAAACCCTATTTGGGGAAATACCCATACTCCTGCCGTGCCCAAGGTTCGCTTCAAGCCACTTGCGTAGGCGCTGCTCCTGCAGCGGTCGCACCTAGCAACACTCCGCATCTTTGAAGAGCTGTGAATTGCCCATATCCCTAAACCCTAAACCCTAAACCCTACACCCTACCCTAGGGGTCTTGTGCTCTGAGGGTTTCAAACTTCAATCCGATGCAGAACTGAGCTGCGGAAACCTGCATTGGGAACCAACCGAAACCCAAAAAGTTAAGATCAGACTCTCCCTACACTACTACAATCCCGATTCAAGCCCCTTTACAACAAAAATCCCGATTCAACTCTGTGGACCTTACCCTAAACCCGCAACCCTAAATCCTAAACCCTAAACCCCAAACCCTAAACTCTCCACCGTAAACCCGAAACCCGAAACCCGAAACCCGAAACCCGAAACCCTAAACCCTAAACCCTAAACCCTAAACCTAAACCTAACTCTCAAGGTGGATGCTTCAGCTGGGCCCGGCACGGCCCCTCGCCGCAAGTTGCAGAGGAGGCTTCCGCAGCGCCTCAGGGTTTACTTGGGAGGTTCATCGAGTTTAGGGTGTAGGGTTTAGGGTTTAGGGTTTAGGGTTTAGGGTTGGGGTTTCGGGTTTAGGGCTTAGGGTGGCCCAAGAGTAACCTAGGAATGAACGGGTACCCTTTTTGGTTTAAAGGGGCTTATAAGGGAACCCAAACCCTATCCAAACGCAGAGGAAGGAAGGAAGTTGTAGGGAACAAGACCCCCACCTTCAGTGCTGCCGTTAGTCTGCACTGTAGGGTTTAGGGCCAGGGTTTAGGACACTGAGATTAGGAAAGACTCCAGCCTTCAAAGCGGGAGTGTAGCGTTACAGGAAACCTCGTACAAAGAAACCTAGGTGGACAGTCTACCGCGCAAGGCCAAAAGACTAGCGATCCCAATCTTTTATAATGAAGCTATATGAAGTAGGGTATATATTTCTTGTACTGCGGACCGGAGGTCGTGAATCACATCAAGGTGAGACAGCTTAGATTTGTGGTATATATTTCTTGTACCCCCAAAAGGACACCAAGTACATACACTCACCAATATTAGAAAGGAACCTCATATACACTCACCAAAAACAGTAATATAAACCCTGCTTCATATGGGATCATGACAATCATCACAATTATTCTACCCAGCGAGCCCAATACTCCTGAGGTTCAGGAATCTACCTGAACTTTATAGGGATCCTGACTATGGTTTAAGGGTTTAGGGTTTAGGGTTTAGGGTTTAGGGTTTAGGGTACTGTAAATTCTTATTTCGAGGGTACGCGGCTCTCTCTTGCTGTCCCAGTAAACTTAGGACCAGGTGCAAGGCATTGTAGATGGCCCGGCCACGTTTTAGCCTCAGTGCGTTGAAGGGCTAAAGCGACTGTACTGAAGGGGGAACAGAGACGACCCTAAACCCTAAACCCTAAACCCTAAACCCTAAACCCTAAACCCTAAACCCTAAACCCTAAACCCTAAACCCTAAACCCTGAACTAAGGAATGTAAGGACATCCGCCCAACTTTGCGTTTCGGATGTGTCTTTTAGGGGGGATTTGGGGAGTTCCGGGGGTTTAGGGTTTAGGGTTTAGGGTATACGGTATAGGGTATAGGGTGTAGGGTTTAGGGTTTAGGCCCCCGCGCACAGCGGGCAAGGATTACGGTGGGTTTAGGATTTAGGATTTAGGTTTAGGGTTCAGGGTTCAGGGTTTAGGGTTTAGGGTTTACGGTGTAGGGTTTAGGGTGTAGGGTTTAGGGTGTAGGGTGTTAAGGGCTTTCTTGGAGGCTCATGGGGGATTATAAGTAGGGTGATAAGTACCCAAAACAAAATGATAGGTGTAGTTCCCATACTTATATACTTATAACTATCCATGAACCTCCAAGTAGGGGTTCAGGTACGCGTGTCCCAGCGACTCCATTACCCCTTCATCAAGGAATACTCTTTAAAAACATCGGGTTCCTCATCTAAGGAATATTCCTTAATACACAAAGGAGTATTGGAGCCTCTGGGGGGGGGGGGGGGAAACTGAGCAGCCCCTTTCGCATACTTGGAATAACCAATTATAACCGTACTTAGAACCCTACTTATAATAGCCCGAAAGAGCCTTCTAGGGGTTATCCCAATTATAAGTAGGGTTATAATTATAAGCCCACCCTAAACCCTAAACCCTAAACCCGAAACCCTAAACCCTAAACCCTAAACCTAAACCCTCAAGTCCCATGATCCTCCAAGTACCCGCCAAGCAGCGGATTGCCGCAGGGAGGCGCGCTCGCGCTGGCCAGCAATGCAAGGACGTGGCCGCACGGCACCTCAAGTTGCTGGGTTTACTTGGAGTTTCGGGTTTAGGGTTTAGGGTTTAGGGTTTAGGGCTACTACTTGGAGGCTCCTGAGTAGTTATAAATAGGGTTGTAGGTACGGAAAAGGGGCCGTAAGTATCGTTACC